ATATAATAAATTCAATAAAATTACTTAATTTTAAAATTATTAATCAGTTCAAAAAAATATTAATTTGAGAGAAAAAAATTAATATTGTGACTACAACTATGTAAATACATTTATATTGTATAGGAACAAACTTCTCGTGTCACTACTGCATTAGTAAAAATAGAAAATTTGAAAGCTCTTCGAACGAGATGTTCAAGCAAGGAATGTCAGGAGTTACGAATAAATAAACAATAACACAAGAATTCAACTGTTAAACCTCAATAAAGCTTAATGAGAATTAATTGAATTATACATCCTAATAACAAGAAAAATCACAGAAAAAACTATTCAGATTGACAAATAAAATCAATAAATACAGAAGCCAGAAGGAAAATTGGATGATGAAAATTCTAGATGGAAATGTGTACTGACAAGGTGGTCTTATCCATATCATATTATATATGTCGTACAAGAATTCAAATGTTCAGAATTTCCTCTAATACACATGCTAGGCTATTAGAGAATGATGTTTATATTCAAGGAGATGTCTTCGTAGCTTCGAAATAGGTTGGAGATGGGATAACACAATACATGAAGCTAGGAGCTGTTATAGCTCTTTCATCAAACTAATCAGAGATATAACTCGTGAGGATTCCACCTACTACTCCTTTAACATCAAACAATGTTGATAAGTTACCAGATTCCTCGTTAGACAAGTATCGTTACAAAATGATCAAGATACCTTACATAATAGAGTAAAAGAACAAGACAACATATCTAACATGACAATCATAGAACAATTAGCATGCTTGTGTGGCCAATATAGTACGACAGCCACAATAGAGAAATGTGTAAGCCACCAAAAAATGCAAAAAGCAAATGGAGTTGATTCCACTTCTCTGTTTGATCTTAAGAGAGGTTTATTCAATACCTTGTGTATTTTTTATAGAGATAACATTTCATCTTCATTACTTAGAAGAATAGATTTTGGATAAACGGGTAACAATAGGAACACTATCATATTTACTAAAAGCAATAAGGATACCAGGAACAATTGACTGTATTTCAATAATATTAATGGGATTAAGTATCCCGTAAGGTTCCCAATAGATGTGTGAGCATTAAAACCCATTATAAGTCACGTTTTCTTTGGAAAACCAATTTCGGATCATTGCAACTATTGAAGGAGATCCAGTGGGTTGGAACGATCCAGCAACCATTTGGATAGTTAGATAGTAATAGGAACTTTGGACGTTTGCCCAATATCCAAGTCTAAAAAATGTTGTGAATAAACCTATTCCCATTGTTTGCACTGTAGAAAAAAAATATTTAATCTATTCTACAGCCTACGTGCCCTAAATATATATTTGATGGCAGAAACAAACAGGAAAGCCATATCAAGATTATTGTTTCCATCAGGGCTATTAAATGGAAAAAACCATCTCTAAATGATACTATAATATTTCCATGGTAAATTAGGACCAACCCCACGGGATTGGGGATCAAGTGCTTGTTTCACAATGTTGTGGTTTTTCAATTAGCATAGTAACCAAAATCTATATAAAGTGGATACATTAATCAATTACCATAAGAATTTTCTGTATCAAATATATGTATTTGTTAGCTTGGAAGAGAGGTTTTATGTGAAGGTCCAACTATGGCTTTGGCACACAAAAGTGTGCACCACTCGACATCGGATAAAGAAAACACTACTAAAGAATAGAAAGGCATTTTCTTTAGCTAGAGAGCGCACCTCATCACATAAATATTGTAGCATGACATTTCCTCAAGCCTGTACAATATAAGGATCTCCGATCCCTTCCGAAAGTAATGATAGAGATGTACAAATTAAGTTCTAGAGTGATGAGGAGGCAATGATGTAAGCATCTCCTTACAAGAAAAAATATGGTAACTACAATAAGTGAGAGATTCTCAGTAACTTAACTGGACTTCATCGTGATCTGACAATGAAGAGATCAAAGTCATCTTGAAAAGTAAAACCTGGTACTTGATTTAATTATATTTATTTCCTGAATGGTAACTCCTTTGCTCCACTATCTACAGCCTCAAAACATAGCTTATTGTAAAACACTGACAGGTTGCAAATATTGGTCCCATTGAGCATGTGATCCTGCTGGCCAAGCACAGGTCACATGTCTTCATTTAAGCCATGTATACAATTTTACAGAGAAGAGGGAAAATATTAGAACATGTTTTTCATTTTGACGACCTCTTTATTATATTTATAGAAGGAAAGTTATTTGAAGCATTATCCTTGCTGAAGAAGCGAAAATATAGTTACATCTTTTACAGAAAGTGAAATTTTATTTGATACTCTGGCAAAATTCTATTTCATAAGATCATGCTCACAATTAAGTCCTTTTATATTAGGCAAGTGCATGCAACTTCCAAGAATCCAAGACTTAGCAAATTTTAATTATTGCGACTATGAGCTTCTAAAGCCATGTGATGGTAGTCCTACAGTTCAATTCTATGCTTTGCATATTTTCAATTTCCAAAAAACAATGTCCTAGAATAGAATGCAACTTCTCATAAATTAGACAGTTAATATTTCATGATGTCACAGAATGATGATTTTTATAGGATGTTAATGTAATCACGTCATTCATAAAGTTTAGGATAGAAACCAACTTGCACAGCAAAATGTCTCCATACATATTGCATGATGGGGATGTGTTTCAACAGGGAGAAAACCTAGTGACATTCGATACAATAACCGTATATTCTATTGTAATATAGGTAAGCAACATGCAGTTGATGAAGTTGAACATTGCTTCGTGCTTTGTCCCTCAAAATTTCCTAGCTTTGAGATGCCAATGGTGGATTAAACCATCAAAGATCGTCTAAATTTCATATCTATTGGATACAGATCTCAATATCCTTGCAGACCAGATGTATGAGTCAAGAACTTAACCCAGCTGAAATAAAAATAAACGGTAAATAATAAGTACACAATGCACAACTTGAAAGCATTTCGTATTTCCTGAAACTAATAACTTGGACCAGAAAAATCAAGTTTTCTAGAAAATCATATAAATAAATAGAAGAACAGTCCACTCTTTTAATAATTACTGACTTATTACTAAAAGTCTAGATAATAAGCAAAATATGACCATGTCCATAACTATCTTGGGACACTACATCCTTAATTAAAGGAGCATGTGGAAGATCCAAAAGATAGTCTAAAAGTAGTTCATATTCCACCGGAAGTTCCATGACTATCGTCTATTTGCAGTTTAAATGAAAACAATTGTAAGGCAAGAAAATCAAACATATTTTGTAAGATAAACAACTGAAACTCTAATGGTAATGATTTCAAACCTCTGCATGAATTTGAATTCAGAAGGTCATAGCATAGTAAAAAAGAAAGGGTAGCTGCAGGTGGATCATTTTCTGGCCAAATCCATATCATTCTCCCTTGCTCAAAGCAGAGTAGTGCTTTGATCTTTACATTCAGTGATCTCGTTGATGGCATTGTCTCACACTTTCCGTCAGCTGAATACTCCCATCCTAGATTAATTAAACAAACATCAGAGCTAGTGTCAGCTATTTCTTGTCCTCATAAAAATGAAAATGGGAGGAGAAATATGAAATACATTACTGATTTATTGCGTAAAACATATATATTTCATTAAACCCTCAATTAAATTGAGTTGTAAAGTAAAAAGTGATCGTAAAGATAAAAATGAAAATCAAGCAGGGAATATTCCATAATATTGTTGTAAAACAACGACTACATATTGTTTTTTTACTTATTAAAAAAAGTGAAATCATACAGTTACCTCTAACAATAAAAATCACGCCAAAAAAAGATTTGCTTTAAGGTCAGATATATAAACTACCAACCATATTAGACAACGTTGAAAAGGTGAACTTAAGTTACCAACTTCTAAGTGAGAAAGTTAGGCTAGCATCACTTAAAAAGAAAGGGGTAGAAAATAACATGAATTCAAACAAACTTCACTCAAAATCAATTACTGAACAAAGATTTGCCATATTTTACTCATTATAGAAGAAAATTTAACACATTTATTATTATCACTTAGATAGAAGTCTATGTGCTCCTTTTATTAGACAACGTTGAAAAGGTGAACTTAAGTTACCAACTTCTAAGTGAGAAAGTTAGGCTAGCATAACTTAAAAAGAAACGGGTAGAAAGTAACATGAATTCAAACAAACTTCACTCAAAATCAATTACTGAACAAAGATTTGCCATATTTTACTCATTATAGAAGAAAATTTAACACATTTATTATTATCACTTAGATAGAAGTCTATGTGCTCCTTTTATTAGTGTAGACCAACGTCAACATCCTGATTATAGTCAATTTAACATCATATAAAAGAGAATGGTATAATATCCAAGTTCTTTGGGCTTGTTAAATTGATAACTGAAGCTAGCGACATTTCACTTTATTTTTTTTAGTATACATGCAAATGAAGAACATGTAACTGATATGACCCAAGAAGTTACAAAAAATACTAACCTGTTGAAATTTATTGAGTGCACATTTGAACTTTTCATTGTCAGATATTCAGCTCCTCACCTATAATGAAACTATAACACCGATCATAATCCATCAACAATAACAACCTACATTGAAAACAACAACAAAGTAAAGCACTCTTCTTTTTTAATCTATAGTAGATTTGATTGTAGTGAAATAAACAAAAAAGAAGTTGTCAAGATTATCACTCTGGGAAACAATTACCAAAGTGCAAAAATCTCGAATTATATAACTATTTTATTCAGCAAAACTTTATTTATTTATTTTTGAAAGAAGGTGATATGAAATGTTGCGTATAGCTGATCATGGCTTTTACGAACTTACTAAATTAGTGAGTTGCCGACATGTCTTCTCATGAGTGAATTACTAAGAGTAGGGTCGTTTGGAAGTCGGCAAATGGTAAGAAGATAGAATAATATCATTCAATGCGTATCAATCACTATTACGAATTTACTATCAAATAGCATAAATCATAACCTACCTCCACCAAAGAACCAAAATCAAGCAAGCTAAGCCACAATAATTTTCCTTTCCTCAATGTCTTGAAACATTCCAATTTATCAAGTATACAATATTTGAAAGTTAACTGGTTTATAAACATTCATATTATTCTATGTCTAGCCTAGACCAAAGACTCACCTAATTTTATAAATCAATTTCCTAAAGTTCAAACTTAAAGGTAAGTCTTAACCTATTCAATATAACGATTTAAATAATTCAATACATCAAATATTTAATTACCTGTAGCAATATATTAAAATATAATCTATAATACGAGAATAAAATATTCACATATACAGATGGAAGCTGCTGGTTACGAAACCAGTGGCAGACAATCAACAACCCATCACCCAACTTTTTTACCTCACCATTTCTGCCACCAAGTTCATGGAAATTAACTCCTCAACAAGACAAAATGCAAACCTTAAATTTAAAAAGGAACCTGGCAACTTCTTTTGCCAACACCTCATTAAACAATGACTTGTATCCTTTATTATCTATAAAAAAATTATCTTCAATATATTAAAATAAAATCATGTGTAGTATATTAACAGATAATCTCTAAATCTAATTTAAATCTCCATTGGTTTCCCATAATTAGTATCTCATGGTTGCGTGCACTGATCATAAACTTATATTGTATTTCAAAATTTTAATTCTTTTCTTTTTAATTCCTTTTTACAGCCAACATCTTAACAATACTAATAATACAACTACTAATCAATTAAGAAAGATATAACCAATAGTAGCAAAATCACAATTAAATTCATTACCTGAACAATTGTTCTCGTGGCAGCTCCATATCCCAATACGAATGAGTTTAGGTTTATACTCTTTGTTTCTTTCTTTATCTTTATTTTTTTAAAAATAAATAATTAGATTTTAAAAGTGATCAACTTAACATATATTATATATACACTTGACCCATTAACCACCAACTAACAAAATTAATTATTTAAACTATCCCACTAACTTAATAATTGTAGTTACGAATAGCAAAATATCCTTTTAAAATCTATCGAAAGAGTATTTTATGAGATAAAAAGTTTTAGTACTCAAAACGACCTAAAGAGTCGTTACAATAGATATCAATTTACCCAATATTCGTCCTCGAATGATCAAAGGAAGGTGAGGATAAGAAATGATAATTGTCTCTACAATTCCTTCAAAATATTAGTACCCAAGGTCTCATATCAAAAGTATCAAACCAACCAATTGGAGATCTAAACCTCCTCCTATACAATGCTTCAAATAGGTTCATCTCACTACTATAGTGACAATTGATGTTGTATGTAAACTCAATCAACAACAGAACTATTTTCAAGTGAACTCTTCAACTGATCGATTTCCACTAGACGTTATACAACAATCCAGAAAAATATTTTCTATCATAACCATAATAAAATCCTGAATCAATATGGTTACAACCAGGAGTGAACCCAAAGTGAATCTAAACCAACCACCACTCACACATATCGCCTAAACTATCATAGATCTTATCAAGATTACATCGTCACAACAAAGTATTTCCTCGAGTTTAAGCTATAAAAATTATGATCTTTAGAGATCAAATAATCATCAAGGAAAATAAAACTCATCCCAAGGTGGTAATGATCAAGTACCCACCATAGAGTGATATATCTATGCATACAAAACCTCTAACAACACTATTGAAATATTAGATTAGTGATTATTATAGACAAAGTTTTAGAATGAAAAAAAACTAGACCCAATGCTCACATTTAATCATACATAGCCAAATATGATATCAATGATGAGATAAATCTTAAGTATATCAAACAACTGTAAATTTTCATGGTAGCTCTCCTATAAATTCTCCTAAGTAAAGTTGTGTGTGTTGAATCACTAGTATATTTCAACTATCCCAAACAACACTAAATCATCCATAACTGGAATGAACAAGTCTAACCAAGGATACTACTCTACCAGTAAGACAATCACATTATCACTACACGATGGCTCTATTACTAGAGACTCACCCATAGAAGGGAAAATACACACAGACATAGAATGTCAATCATACTTTAAATCACGCCCAGAATAAAGTAGTCGGTCATATAAGAATATACACAACTAAGGTCGAATAAGTCTAGATACTTCTTCCATAGTGTCCATATCAAACATTTTCATTTATCTGACTATAACTCTTAGATTTTCCAGCTACAATCACCAATTTAGTCCCTATAATAATTGCACACATACTTGCTTTATCGAATCCACATATCTGAAGTAAACCCTTAATACTAACAAAACATCATAATCACATCGATCATCTATCATACTCCCAAGCTATCATTAGTATCACAATATTTTTATCAAATACATGTTCAAACAATGACTATATTCTCCTTCTATTTAAGCATTTCATGAAAAATACGAGTTCCAAACAAGGCTAATAGCACGAATGTGAAATTTGATGGTACCTTTTTGTAACGACCTGTTTAGTCGTTTCGAGCAATAGAATTACTTTTGATAATAACTGATTGTGTCAACGGAGCACACGACGGACCGTCATGGTCACGACGGACCGTCGAGTGTGTCGTGCCAAAACACTTAAACTTTGAAATTTGGGTACGGGGAATCAACTCTCTGAACTTCGCAACGGAATTGCAGCACGGACCGTCGTAGGCACAACGGACCGTCACAGACCTCTTTAATGAAATTGAGTCTCTGAAATCTGTGACGACCCTGCAGGACGGACCGTCGCAGGCATGATGGGCCGTCACGAGTGACGTAACCTCAACTGGATTGGATTTCTGCTAAAAGTTTTTAAGGGGCGTTTTGGACTATTCATGCTTATAATTATGAAATTAGTGGGGTAAGTTTAATAGTTTAATTTTTTGGGGGTTAAAGGAGATAACGTTGAAATAAATAGTGGGTTACTTTTATCATCTTTTATACTTAACTATATGATAATTAGGGTAAAAGAAAAAGAGTTTGAGTAAGGAAAAATAGAAAGAACAGAGAGAAGAGGGGAGAACGAATGAGAGAGGGAGAAGTGAAGAGGAAAGCAAAGGCTTTGAGAAGTAGCTTGCTTGATCACGATTCTTCGGTAGAGGTAGGTTATTGTTTATGCTATTTCATAGTAAACTCTAAATAGTGATTGATATATATTGGGTGTTATTGTAAAGTCTTCTATATGCTTAATTGTGTTGTTGCATGTTGTGATTATGTAAATGGTGATAGATTATAATGATGATACTATGGAATCTTAAAAACCTTAAATCCACTCTATTAATGATGATGCCTTGATATACAAGAAGACTTGATGAACTAAAAGAATGAGGTTAATGAATCGGGTGTCACGAACCGACACGTAGTATTAGGGGATCGGGTGTCACGAACCGACACGTAGTATTAGTGGATCGGGTGTCACAAACCGACACGTAGTATTAGGGGATCGGGTGTCACAAACCGACACGTAGTATTAGGGGATCGGAGTGTCACGTTCCGACACAAGAGGAATAAAGAGAATGAATCTTGAATTATGGTAATATACTCAAACTTAAAGAACCTTTTCCCCAAATGAGTATGGTGTGGAGGCTTGAGTCCTCATAAATGTACTTGGTGTTATTGTCAATGGTCCTTGTACTTGTTTTTGCCACCTCTTGAATATTGTAGTTGATTTTATGTTATTATTAAATGTATATTGCTTTCTATTTTAAGTTGGCCGATGATATCTACTCAGTACTTGTGCCTTGTACTGACCCCTACTTGTAATTTTCTTCTTTGTTATTTGTGGAGTGCAGCAAACGTGCCATCGACTTCAACTCAACCGCAACTCTAGCCAGTCTTCAGCATATCAGATTTAAGGGTGAGCTACTATTTCTAGCTCGGACTGGACTCTCCTTCACGTCTTGATGTCTTGAAGTTCGGACATGGACCATCTCTTTTATTTGTTTTAGTTTCTTGAATACTCTTAGACTTAGAAATTTGAGGATAGATGTTCTTGGTGTGATGACTTCCAGATTTTGGGAATGATAAGTATTGAGTTTTAGAAGTTATTTAATCGATTTTCGTTAATGAGTTTTAAGTCTTCCGCATTATATTCTTTTTATTATGGCTGAAATGTTGGGGTTTAGATTGGTTGGTTCGCTCACATAGTAGGATAAGTGTGGGTGCCACTCGCGGCTCATTTTGGGTCGTGACAAACTTGGTATTAGAGCATTAGGTTCGTTGGTCTCATCACACAAGAACAAGTCTAGTAGAGTCTTGAGGAACAGTAGGGGGACGCCTTTACTTTTCTTTGAGAGACTATAAGACTTTAGGAAAATTTCATTCTTTCTTTCTTTCGTGCTATTACGTGGATACAATTGGTATCTAGGTGATACAAATTGGTATCTGACCATCTTCACTCTATTTCGCAGATGGTTAGAACTAGAGCAACAACTGCGCCAACACCAACTCCGGCAAGACAGGATGCGTCTGAGCCAGCCACTGGGGCTGTAGCTCAAAGAGGAGCAGTGGCAAGAGGCCGTGGTAGAGGTCGCGGGAGGACGTCCTTTAGAGGAAGAAGACAAGCACCTGGCCCAGCTAGTACTAGGGCGGTGACTCCTCC